CTACCTCCCCTCGTTCTCTACGAACCTGGTGAGTGGTGCTGACCTACAGGATGCGGGTGTCCACCAGTTCATTCCTTCTCGTCAGCGGGTGACCCACTGCACGGAGGCTGGCACAGGTCGCCACCTGGCTACGTTTACACGTCGGCCGGGGTCGAGCCTGTACACACTGACCACTGCTTCTCCTCCAGGTACTGAGTCTGGTAGGGTCCCTTCGTCTGGTCAGGTGTTTACTGCAGCGTCCAGGTCTGGCCCTGAGTCTGCCCCCTGTTCGTGTCGTCGTCTGTCTCACGAGACCCTCCTTTGGCACCACCGCCTGGGTCACCCCTCTCTGCTTCGGCTCAGAGGCATGGCCTCCCGTCTTCTTGTGTCTGGTCTTCCCCGGTCCCTCCCTCCCCTTCCTCAGGGCCCTGGCCCTGCCTGTGTCCCCTGTGTCGAGGGGCGCCAGCGTGCTGCCCCTCACTCCTCCCAGTTTCCTCCGACAGAGGCCCCGTTGCAGACGCTTCACATGGACGTGTGGGGCCCAGCCCGCGTCCGTGGACAGGGTCAGGAGCGCTACTTCCTGCTCGTTGTTGACGACTACTCACGTTACACCGCAGTCTTCCCCTTGCGCTGCAAGGGTGAGGTCACTGAGGTGCTGATCGACTGGATCCGCGCAGCTCGTCTTCAGCTCAGGCAGAGCTTTGGCTCCGACTTTCCTGTGTTGCGTCTGCACTCGGACAGAGGCGGAGAGTTCTCCTCTGGCCTTCTGCGTGCCTACTGTCGTGCGCGAGGCATCCGCCAGTCCTTCACGCTTCCGGACTCTCCATAGCAAAATGGGATTGCTGAGCGCCGCATTGGCATGGTCATGGACGTCGCCCGTACGTCCATGATGCATGCGGCTGCCCCCCATTTTCCGTGGCCGTTTGCGGTCAGGTACGCAGCGCATCAGATCAACCTCCACCCCAGGGTCTCCAGGCCGGAGACCTCCCCAGCCCTGCTGTGGACGGGGAAGGTTGGCGATGCGTCGGCGTTCCGGGTCTGGGGATCTCGGGCGTTTGTCTGCGACTTGTCTGCGGACAAGCTGTCCCCTCGCGCTGCTCCATGCGTTTTCCTGGGTTTCCCCTCCGACGCCCCTAGGTGGCAGTTCTACCACCCCACCTCTCGACGTGTTCTGTCCTCCCAGGACGTCACTTTCGACGAGTCGGTACCCTACTACCGCCTCTTCCCCTACCGCACTCCGTCCCTCCCCCCACCCCCGCTCTTCTTGGTAGCAGGTCCCCCCCCGGTAGACCCCCTCCCCCCTCAGGGTCCTGCCCCTTCAGGTGTGTCCCAGGTAGACGCGGTCGAGCCTGTCGAGGTCACTGCTGACTCTGGTGCTGCTGCGGGTGCTGAGCCTGGGGGTGCTGAGCCTGGGGGTGCTGAGTCTGGGGGTGCGGAGTCTGGGGTTGCTGAGCCTGGGGGTGCTGAGCCTGGGGGTGCTGAGCCTGGGGGTGCTGAGCTTGGGGGTGCTGAGCTTGGGGGTGCTGTGCCTGGGGGTGCTGTGCCTGGAGGTGCTTCGTCTCGCCGTGAGCCACTCTCCCCACAGGAGCTGCGTGAGTGGTTTGCCAGACGCAGGAGGCGTGCTGCTGGTGCTGGAGGTTCTTCGACTGCAGAGGGTGCTACTGCCGCGGATCCCGGAGGTGCTCGTCTTGGGAGTACTGGAGCTGCTGGGTCTGAGGGTTCTCCTGGAGCTGGTGCTGCTGAGGGTGTTGGAGTTGAGACTGCCGCTGGCGGTCCGCCTGGCAGTGCTCCTGGTGGTGCTGCTGGAGGTTCTGGAGCTACTGGAGGTGCTGCTAGAGGTGCTGCTGGAACGGGTACTCCTGCTGGGGGTACTGGTGCTGTCCCTTCTGTTTCTGGCGTCGCCGCGCGGCCCCGACCGTACTTCGTTCCGCTCCTACAGCAGGTTCTTGGTCTTACACCTTCTCCTGGTCCTCCTCCTCCTCCCTTAGAGGGTCCACGGCCTGTCCAGTCACAGCCACAGCTACAGCCTGCCTCCCCTTTGCCTGCTCCTTCTCCCTACGCTGGTCCGACTGGAGGTCTTACTGAGCGTCGTGAGCCTGCGTCTCGTCCTACGTCGCCTGTTCGTACTGCGCGCGCTAGTGGTCGCGGGTCGCGTCAGCATCCCCCTCCGGTCCCTGGCACGCACCGGATGTCACTGCGTCCGTCTACTGCTCCTCTGCGTGCCCCTTTGCCTTCTCCTCCCGCTTCCTCTCTTCCTGCTCTTGCCGACCCGGAGTCGGACTCTCTTCGTGCTGCCAGTCCCACTGTCACGCGTCTCCTTGCTACTGCTGTCACTGACCCTTCCTTGGAGTCGTCTGCTGCGTCTGCCCTTGTCACTGAGCTTGTCGACTTTGCTGCGCGCTGTCGTCTAGACTACGCTGCCAGTCTTGTAGCTGAGTCTGAGTCTGCCTGTCCTCCGTCCGTCGGGGGTGAATGTGCCCTTGGCACGGACGTCCTTGAGGACAGGCAGGAGGAGTTCCAGTGTCTAGCCGCCGCTTCACCTCATCTCGCGTCTGTACTACTAGCCCCTGAGGGAGACCCGGATGCACTAGACATCCCGACTCCGCGCTCTTACGCGGAGGCGATAGAGGGTCCCTACTCCTCTCAGTGGCAGGCAGCTATGGATGCAGAGATGGCTTCTTGGAAGTCCACAGGCACCTACGTCGACGCTGTTCCCCCTCCTGAGGCGAACATCGTCAGTGGCATGTGGATTTTCAGGGTGAAGCGGCCGCCGGGTTCTCCGCCTGTCTTCAAGGCGCGTTACGTGGCTCGTGGCTTCAGTCAACGGGAGGGGGTCGACTACTTTCAGACCTTCTCCCCCACCCCGAAGATGACCACTCTTCGGGTTTTGCTGCACGTTGCTGCTCACCGTGACTACGAGCTCCACTCTCTCGACTTCAGCACCGCTTTCTTGCAGGGCAGCCTGCACGAGGAGATCTGGCTGCGTCGCCCACCTGGCTTCACTGGGTCTTTCCCTCCTGGTAGGCGCCACGTGAGTGGAACGACACACTGAGGACTACGCTCGCGGCACTTGGGTTTGCTCCTTCTACTGCCGACCCGTCGCTGTTTCTGCGCACCGATACCTCACTGCCGCCGTTCTACATCCTCATGTACGTCGACGACTTGGTCTTTGCCACACCTCACACTGCTGGACTCGCCTACGTGAAGTCCGAGCTGCAGAAGAGACACACGTGCACTGACCTGGGTGAACTGCGTAGCTACCTTGGCTTGCAGATCACCCGGGACAGAGCACGCCGCACCATTACCCTGACTCAGTCACACATGGTGCAGCAGGTCCTTCAGCGCTTCGGCATCACGTACTCCTCGCCTCAGGCCACTCCTCTGCCTACTCGCCACTCGCTCTCAGCTCTGCCTTCGGATGAGTCCGTAGAGTCGAGTGGCCTGTTTGCAGAGCTTGTTGGCTGCCTCATGTACCTGATGACCTGCACACGACCTGACCTTGCATACCCTCTTAGCATTCTCGCACGCTATGTTGCTCCTGGGAGACACCGACCAGAGCACATGGCTGCAGCGAAGAGGGTGTTGCGCTACTTGTGCAGTACGCCGGGCATGGGGCTAGTGCTTGGAGGGCGCAGTCCAGTGGTCCTCACTGGGCACGCAGACGCTTCTTGGGCTGACGACCAGGCTACACTGCGGTCGTCACAGGGTTACACCTTCAGCCTTGGTTCCGGCTCTGTTTCGTGGCGGGCTACCCGCTCGTCTTCTGTTCTCGGCTCCAGTTGTGAGGTTGAGATCTACGCTGGGGCTATGGCTGCACAGGAGTTACGCTGGCTCACCTACCTGCTGACCGACCTTGGAGAGCAGCCTCGTTCTCCTCCAGTCCTGTACGTAGACAACAAGGCCATGCTGGCCTTGTGTCGAGAGCAGCGACCGGAGCACAGAACGAAGCACATTGCTCTCCGCTACTTTCTTGCTCGTGAGCTACAGCAGCGTGGACAGTTGCGACTTGCGTACGTGGCCTCTGAGGCCAACACTGCTGATGTCTTCACCAAGGCACTTGCGCCTTGTGATCATCAGCGTAGTTGCACGCAGTTGGGTCTTGTGCCTGTCTTGCCTCACTTGCTCTCCTCTTGACCTTGCTTGTACCTTCGCCTATATATACTCTTGCTCTTACTTGCTTGACTCTTGTATATCTCTATATATGATCTTGCATGTGAACTGGCCTTCTGGCCTTTGAACTTGTGCTCGGAATGCGTGGTGACTTTGTGATCCACCCTGAGCTTTGCTTTGCTTTGCTTGACTGGTCTTGTGACCCCTTGTTCTCCCCCACTTTGTCTATGGGGGTGTGTCAGAACATATAGCTTACTTGTTTTTGTAGGCTATAGTGGGGTATCCCATAGGGGGTACAACCCAATTAGGGTTTCCTATTTGTACTCACTTCGTTCATAGTTCATTCATTTCCTCGTTCATATCTTCTCAAGGCCAACTCGGGAGTGGCTCGGTGCGACGAAATAGGAAGGTCAGGCTCGTCGCGTGACCCTCGGGATGGCCTCGCTAACGAGTGCCTCAGTATGGATTTGTAAATCCATACAGTTTGACTCGTAATTACACATGTTATAGAATGTTATCGGGTAACAGGACCTCAACGAGAATTTACTTCCGCCAAGCAAGACACGCCCTTAGTTTTACGAGCCAGTCTGGATTGAGTCGAGCCCATTTATTTCAGTCAAACCTGCTAACACAGCGCATCACACGAGTAGTACTAGTAGATGCATTGAAAGAAACGAGCGGCCGATATCGCGCATCGTCGTGACGATGCTGGCGGCGCTCGCATCGGAGGTCGCCACCTTCCATTCCTCCCATCTGAGGTGCCTGAGAAAGGCTTAAGCCTCTGAAACAAGAGGTCGCGTCACACTCGAGTTGTAATAATAAAACCATCGAAGAAAACAACGATCGATCGCGTCGTCTCGTGTAGTGAAAACCTCGGGGGTAACAAACGAGCGATCGCACGAGGAGTCACGATGCTGGCGGCGTTCCTCGCGGCGCTCGTCTTCTTCCATTCCTCCGAGTTCCTCCTCGCGCTCTGGTCCACCGGCAAACCCGACCTCCGATGTAAGCCGCCTCGCCTTCCCCTCGCCTCGCCTTCCCCTCGCCTCGCCTTCCCCTCGCCTCGCCTTCCCCTCGCCTCGCCTTCACCTCGCCTCGCCTTCCCCTCGCCTCGCCTTCCCCTCGCCTCGCCTTCCCCTCGCCTCGCCTTCCCCTCGCCTCGCCTTCCCCTCGCCTCGCCTTCCCCTCGCCTCGCCTTCCCCTCGCCTCGCCTCGCCTTCCCGTCTTCTCCTCGCCAATCCGTCCCCTCTCCTCTGCGTCTCTGGGAAGGGCGTCAATTGCGGGGGCGCTGTGTTGACACTTCAATGCGCCTCCACTCTTCCATCCCCCAGCCTTAACCCATCCCCTCCCCCCAGCAGTCCAGCCATCTTTCTCTCAAACATCCCTTCCCTTCGCGGCGCTGCAATGCCTCTCCCCCCCCCCCATCTATCCCGCCAGTCTCATCCTTCCCGTCCTTTTACACTCCTTTTCTCCCAGCCGCCCATCCTAATCCTGCTGTAGTCCCCTCCCCACGCCCTGTCCTTTTCTGTGGCCCTTGGCGCTTTTGTGGGGGCCGCCGCTGCTGGAGGTGCTGCTGCTGCTGCCGCCTGCCTGTTCAAAATTTTCTTTCCCTCCCTCCCCACACGCTTCTCCCACTCCCATCCCTCTCCACCACTCCCCACCTCCCGCTAGCCATGCAGCGTTCCTCGTCTCGGGGGAGTATCTACTGGCCATGGCAGCAGCGCTCACTGAATACGCCCTCGAGACCGCCCTCTTCCCCGCCTTCAAGCGCCGCCTGTGGCCCGTGGCGTGGGTGGGGGGGGCGCTGCTGCTGGCGGGGGAAGCGGTGCGCAAGGCAGCCATGGTGACGGCGGGGCGGAGCTTCACTCATGACATTCAGACGGAGAAGCGGCGCGAACATCGAGTGGTGACGCACGGGCTGTACAGGTGAGAGTTGGTGGCGTGGACGGGGGCGCAGGTGGTGCTGGTGACGCTGGTGGTGGTGGGTGAGGCGGTGCACAAGGCAGCAATGGTGACGGTGGGGAGGAGTTTCACACATGATAGTCAGACGGAGAAGCCGCGCGAGCACCGATTGGCCACTCATTGGTTGTACAGGTTGGCGGTGGTTGGATGAAGGTCATGCAGGTATGGGTTGTACTGGTGGGCGTTGTCTGGGTGGAAGGTGGTTGGGTTGGGTGCTTGTGTGTGCTCCTGTGGTGCGCCTGATGACAGCGATGGTGACAGGAGGAACTTTATCCATAACATTCAGGCTGCTCACACCTGGGCTGTACAGGGGGGCGTAGGTCGGGCGATCGTGTGATTGGTGGTAAGGAAGGGGTATGTGTGCTGATGTGGTGTGGTCCTCCCAGACGCACAAGAAGTGCAACCACTGCCCCGTGACACACGAGCAGTGCAGGTGGCAGCTGTCTGGGCGTTAATGCAGTGAAGGAGTGTGACTCAGGCCTGACACCACTTGGAAGGCAGCAGAGTGAACTATTGGGAGGAAAAAAGCCTTGATCATGCCTGGGTGTTGAGATGCCTATTTGCACGGGCGTGTCACTGTGGCTCCTCTGCCTGCACCGCCAGCACTGCATGCATGTGTGTGAGCATTCCATGCCCAACCCATGTTCCCCACATGCCCATGGCAGGTGGGTGCGGCATCCGGGCTACACGGGGTGCTTCATGTGGAGCATAGCCACGCAGTTGGTGCTCGTCAACCCCCTCTGCACGCTCGCCTTCGCCCTCGTCTCCTGGCGCTTCTTTGCCGCGCGCATCCCGTGAGTTTGTCCTCTTGCTTGAGTAGGAATCCCGTGAGTTACCCTGTGGGCTCGGAGTCATCCCATGAATCACCCTGTGGACGCAGAGGCATCCTGTGAGTTACCCTGTGGGCTCGGAGTCATCCCATGAATCACCCTGTGGACGCAGAGGCATCCTGTGAGTTACCCTGTGGGCTCAGACGGACTGGGGCAGGGCCTGCAGTGCCGGGTCGCCCTCATCTCCTGGCACTTCGTTGTCAGTCCATTGAAATCTGACGATGCATTGACGATGGAAGAGTTGCAATGCTGGAGGCTCGTCCAGAGTCCAGACCAGACACACTGTGACTCTCCATGCCCCTATTCCACATCCCCCAAACCCAAACCCCGTCCCCATACCGTTGCTTCAAGTCCCCCTCATTCCCTTGCCCCCAATTCCCTTTTCCCCGTCGCCTTCACCTCTCCACCACCATTTCCCAATCCCTCTGCTACTGCGCCCCTCTCACCAGCAATCCTCCTTCCACTGCCCCATTCACCATTCCCATCCCATCCTTCTCTTCTAGCATTCCTTTCATCTCCCCGACCGCCCCCCTCACCCTCCTCCCCCCTTCTCTCCCCCCCCTCCTCCCCGCAAACCCCCTCCAAAGCTACAAGGAGTTATATCTGCACCAGTTCTTGGGCTTCGAATACGTATAATTCGCCGCCTCTGTCGTCTGCCATTCTCTTTGTCTCATCTGCTCCCACACCCGCCCATTCCCCACTTCTCCCCTCTCCCCCTTCCTTCCCCCAGCTACGAGGAGTTTTACCTCCACCATTTCTTCGGACTTGAGTATGCTCGATATGCCATCCAATTTTCCCTTCAACTCATCATGCTATTTCCCCTGCTCCCGTGACCCTAACCCCCCCTCTTTCTCCCCACATCTCAGCTACGAGGAGTTCTACCTGCACCAGTTCTTTGGCCTTGAGTACGCACGATACGCCGCCTTGGTGCCGTCCGGCATCCCCTTTGTCTCGTGACGCCAGGCCTCCACTCCCATTCCTTTCCTTGGGAGCAAGTAGCAGCACGGCACAGCATGGCACGAACGTTCCATGCGGAAAAGACCCTCAACAGCAGGGCAGAGCTCATTCAACCTGAGGCTCTGCAGAAGGGAATACATGCAGGTCCTTGCCAGTGCTTGGGATGCACCGACTGTGCTACAGCCATGAGCAGCAAGCAGCAGCGTACCAGTTTGGAGCCGATGACAGCTGTCTGATTCCCCTTTAGTCTGAAATAGCCGAGTTGTCAGTAACGTTATGATCAATACATGATTATATTTAACTATGTTGGAAACAACAAATTCTAAGCGCCTCTGTCGTGTCGAAACACCAAGGCACAAGCGAAGCACAACATAGCGGAGCATCAGCGAGTCAACCCTCGGAGGTTGAACAACTGCTGGAGGTTACGCGAAAGCCAAAGGTCAGCGACCTTTGACCTGACAAGTACGCGCGACAGCAAGGACACACAACTGACTCGTTACAGAGTAGTTGCTCGAGTCGTCACTGTATCGAACCACAAGAGCAACAGTTAAGTAGTTATAACTGTATCTCTTCGTATTCCTTGTACTCTTTTATAATCCTGTATCTCTTTGCCTTAAAAAATTCACTTTGCCCTCACATACCGTCACCCCCCGGATATACCCCCATGGGGGGCTATAATATAACATGTTTTTTTGAGGGGGTGGGCTTATAATACAGTAAATTTATAAGCGCCGGCGTTTATAATTTGTCAAATTTGAAATTTGTTTTTTAATATACCAAATCGAAGCATTCTCAAAGGCGGATTCACTTGGGTCGAGAACGTTCGAAACTGTGCATGCATTGCGTGTGAAACGGCCAACAAGGCGTGGCTTCACGCCTTCCACGCCTTGTTGGCCAGGCCAGGTTCATCGAACGTGAACCTGGCCCATGCCAGTGCACACGTACCTCGCATCACAGCGGCCCAATCAGGGTTGCATGCGATCGTGGGCACGTCGTGGTTCAGCCACGGTGTGCCCATCAACAGCAAAATTCCCCGCCACCGAGGCAAGGAGCTGCCCAGCTCAGCTCCTCTGCGGGGAATCTTGACTGGGGCCACCCTTTTCCTGCAGAGGAGGCCGGGCCGCGAAAATGAAGGGGTCTCGGGCGAGGGCTTCATACAACCCTCATTCTCGACTTTTGCCTTCAGTTTCTTTGTTCGTTTGGCCTGCCGTGGCCATGGCGGGCCTTCCAGGCACGCATTTCTTGTTCCGCCGCCATCCTGCTGCCAGAGAAAACACCCGCCGAGACACCTGTGACTACTCTCAATGGCAGTCGCGCCCTGCGCCCGTCCCTCCGTGTCAACCAGTAGCTCCTCCCGTTCCTCCCACTCCCCCAACTCCTCCTGCACCTCCCGCTCCCCCGGCGCCTCCGGTTCCTCCAGCTCCTCCGTCCCCTCCTGACCCGCCTGTGTTTTGTGCTCCACGTCAGGGGGTCCTGCAGCTTCTCCTCCCTCCTGGCTACTCGGCGTTTGACGCGTACCTGTCCGAGCCCGACCGCGCCGGTGGCGCATCGTCTTCCTCCGCACCGTCGCCACGCTGGGGAGCCCCGACTGATTGCCCGTTGGACGAATCCGCGACTGGTGCGGAGGATGACGTGGAGTTTTGGGTTGCCGACGGTCTTCCAGAGCACCTGCCTATTCCCACCTTCCCCCCCCCCAATAAGAAACGGCCCCACCCTTCTCGCGAGAATCGCGATGCCCGTCCTCCCTCCCCCAGGCACAAGCCATCAAGTCACAAGCGGCACTCTTACACATCGCAGGAGAAACTGCAGTGGATTCTCAAGCTTGAGTCCGGGCACATGAGCGTGCGGCAGATGTCTCACCAAACCGGCATTTCCCGAAGGTCACTCGCAGAATGGAAGACCCGGAAGGCTGACCTGGAGGGCGCGCATGCTGCTCGCAAGCGTCTTCATGGGCGCGGAAGGAGCTCGTGGTATCGCGACATGGAAGCTGAAGTCTACAGGAGGTTTCTTGCCCACCGTAAAAAATGTCTCGCGGTCTCGATCGCTCGCCTACAGAAGTGGTCGCATGAGGTGATGAAAGAATTGCACCCATAGGTAAAGTGGTCCGGCTCGTAGCGGTGGACTGAGCGGTTTCGCCGCCGTTGGAATCTGACAACCCGAGCGAAGACCAGGGTCGGCCAGAAGCTTGCTGCCAGTGAGTTTTGTGGGAAATGGTTGCAGTTTAATATGTACTGCTTTGTGTTGTTTGTCTCTTTATGTTTCACGGTTGAATTTTAACGCGTCATTAATACTGTCTTCTCTCTTTCCCTCCCACCCGTACTCCCAGACTGCGAGACTGACGTCAGGAATTTCTGGAAGTTCGTGCGTCACACCCGCCGCCAATACAAGATTGACCCGCAGTGGATAATAAACGCGGACCAGACACCACTGTGGCTCGAGATGCCTGCCGAACGCACAGTCGAGGAGGTCGGTCTGCGCTCTGTGCCTATCCGCAGCGGCGGCTATCAGAAGGAGCGAGTTACGGTGATGCTCGCCTGCACTGCCAGTGGTGAGAAGCTGAAGCCGTGGGTCTTCTTCAAACGGAAGACCCTGCCTAAAGGGGATTTCCCTTCAGGTGAGCATTAACACCCACTGCTGCATGTTTTTTTTTTTCAATGTCTACTGATGTTGTATGTGCGTTTATGGCTGTGCAGATGTTACGGTGTCCGTCCATCCCAACGGTTGGATGGACGCGGACGGAGTCATCGAGTGGCTCGACGGGGCAGTGAAGCCGTTCGTCCAACCCAAGTTCGGAGTGAGGCCCCGCAAAGCGATGCTCGTCTTGGATTCGTACCGCGGGCACCTGACTGCGGAGGTGAAGAAGAAGTTCGGGGAGCTGAACATCGTCCATGCCGTTATCCCAGCTGGCTGCACCTCGGAGATTCAACCTCTGGACGTCGCGGTGAATCGCTCCTTCAAGGCATCCGTTCGCCAGCTCTACCAGGAGTGGTTCCAGAGCGAGGGGGTCGACACCTTGACAAAGAAAGGTGAGAGAGGCAGGCCATGCGTGTGCTGCTTTAACAGTTTGTAGCGGTGGCTGACTTTTGATTGTTTAAATTTTATGGCAGGCAACATCAAGAAGCCACCACCCGAGCTAACGCTCAAGTGGATATCAGCGGCTTGGAAGGCCGTGCCCAGGGACTTGATTCAACGGGCTTTCCTCACCTGTGGCATTAGTAACGCCCTGGATGGGTCCCAGGACAAGATATGCCTGCAACACAGGCGCGACGAGCTTGAGGGCGACGAAATAGACATCGACGACGACATTGCAGCAGATGGCTTTTTCTGCAACAACGTAGAAGAACCAGAGTCGGACTCTGAGGCCGACCCGGATGATCCTACCGCAGCTGATGACTAGATTACGTAGATCTAGAAATTGCTGTAGCCTGTGAGACTCGTAGGTAGATTTAGAACTGTAATTAGAAAAACCTGTAGACAAACTGACTTTGTAATTAATTAGATGAAAATATAAGTTGTTAATGTGGTGAGTGAAGCTTGTAGATTTTTTTTTTTTTTTTAAGTGGCGGTTATAATGTGTAAGGTACAGGTATGCGGCTATAATCCGTACGACTCTAGGGTATGCGCTTATAATCGAGGAGGGGATATAAGCGCCATATGCCAATTAGAAGCGCCAGGCGCTTATCCTAGGGTGGCGCTTATATCCGGGGGGGTGACGGTACCAGCGTAAGGTGGTTCACAACTCTTCGTTAAATGCTTCCGCTATTACAACAAGTCCTACCCAGAGTTCACCCCTGCAAAGATCCTAAGGGCTTTTCTCAGCCCAACATGGAGAGCTATCAGGGGGAATTCAACTATCAAGACACCTACAACATCAGAAGACATGGCTACTCAGAAGGAAAGGAGTTCCTCTATTGGTTCTCCCGGCACTACTCCTCCACTTCCTGCCTCTGGCCTATAGACAGAGGAGGGTGTCAGAACATTATAGCTTATGCTTTTTGTGTAGGCTGTAGTGGGGTATCCCATAGGGGGTACAACCCAATTAGGGTTAGTACTTGTACCCACTTCATTCATAGTTCATTCATTCTCGTTTGTATTTTCTCATGGTATCGAGCAGGTTCCCTCGTGGGAACTGTTCCTAGGGCCCACAAATCGATTTTTTTTCCTGCCCGAGGCGCGTCCTGCCCCCTGCCCGAAGCGCGCCTAACCTTGCGGCGGCCCCTAGCGGCCCGTCGCCCTTTCCGCAGCGGCCCGCCGCCGCCCTTTCCGCAGCGGCCCGCCGCCGCCCGTTCTGCAGCGGCCCGTCGCCGCCCTAACCCGGCCCGCCGTCGCCCGTTCTACAGCGACCCGCCGCCGCCCTAAGCGGCCCGCCGCCGCCCTTTCCGCAGCGGCCCGCTGCCGCCCTAAAGCGGCCCGCCGCCGCCCGTTCTGCAGCGGCCCGTCGCCGCCCTACCCCGGCCCGCCGCCGCCCATTCTGCAGCGGCCCGTCGCCGCCCTAAACCGGCCCGCCGCCGCCCTTTCCACAGCGGCCCGCCGCCGCTCTAAAGCGGCCCGTCGCCGCTCTAAAGCGGCCGGTCGCCGCCCGCTCCGCAGCGGCTCGACGCCGCCCCCACCGCAGCGGCCTGCCGCTGCCCTAAAGCGGCCCGTCGCCGCCCTATCCCCAGCGGCCTGCCGCCGCCCTACAGCGGCCCGTCGCCGCCCTATCCGCAGCGGCCCGCCGCCACCCGAGCGCGGCCCGTCGCCGCCCATCTTTGCTGCGGCCTCGCCGCCCTCACTGCGGCCTCGCCGCCCTCACTGCGGTCTCGCCGCCTCCTGCTGCGGCCACGCCGCCCTTCTACTGCGGCCTTGCCGCCCTCTACTGTGGCCTCGCCGCCTCTCACCTGCTGCAGCGCCGCGCCGCCCTGCAGCAGCACCGCCGAGCCGCCGAGCAGCCGGACAGCCGAGCCGCCGAGCCACTCAGCAGCCAAGCCGCCGAGCAGCCGAGCCGCCTAGCAGCCGAGCCG